GAACTCTTGACTTTGTGATCCACCTGACTTAGCTTCTGAAAGTACTGGGATTACAGGCATGAGCCACAGCGCCCAGCCCACCATATGTTATTATAAGTACAATTCCTTATCTAATTACTTGATTAACCACAGTTTATATCTTGATCTGTTCTTTATACACAAAAATCCTAAAAGTTTATGTTATTTGGCAGAGTCACAAAAGCCTGACAAGAGAAAAATGATTCTTTCAGCTGAAGTAGCAGAAACTAGAGAAACTATTGCCCCAGGGACAAAAGAAATAAAGTTAAAAGCCAGAGGGGAATGAGCTTAGTATACACAATATACCAAAAGGAATAACTATTTTGAATCTGACAACAGTAGGAATTACTGGTAGTCACTTTGTTGAAAGTTGAAACATAGATAAACATTGAGAAATACCCATATACAATAAAGTGAATAGCGAATTGCTTTTATGACTTTGAAATTTTTCTGAAGATTATTTTCCATATATTAAAAATTTGCATAGCATATTTGTACATTAATTTGAGATTAAATTTTAGTTTCAAATATATTTTTCTACACTATTATAATTATTTGATATACATAACATTATTTTCATGATAATAGAATTGTAAAGCAAAAATACAATTTTGACTTTGAAGGAGTTAAATTGAACACCAATGCTCTGTTTATAATTTCCTAGAAATTTCAGTTACTAAATTCTTAATAGTACTTAATCAAATGATAATTTTAAAATTCAGAAATGTCATTGAACATATGGATTATATCATTGAAAGGGATTAAATATCTCTTTAAAATTCTGCTCCCATAAACTGAATCCTCTGCCTGTTCTCTTCTCAGTAATGGCAATATAAGATTTCTAATACTCAGACTAAAACCTTGAGAATCTTCTAAGACTTCTTTCATTAATTTAACCTCTCATTTCAACATTTCAACAAGTTATTTAGATTTCATCTCCTAAATATCTCCCAAATACATCTCAGCTGAAAAATTAATGATGAATTAATTGCCTTGAAGTATATAATTAAGTTCATATCCTTTGTAATACATATTCTCAAAGTTCTTTTCTATCTCCTACATTTCAATATTGTCATGTCTACTTTAACCCCACAATGAACAAGTAACCAACCTATACTCTATTTATTAGAAACATTTGTCATTCAATGAATGCACACTGTCAAAGTTAGTACAAATGTCAATGTTTGTGCCTATTCCTGTAGTATCTATGCCCCAGAGCAGACCAGTGCCATAGACCAAATAGAGGCTGCATTTGTGGTACCTAGGAGTAGTAAGATCACGCCACACCCTCTTGCCAGTCTAGGCTCAGCGCCAGCTTCTGGACCAGTGGTCCCACTTGGCCTGAACCTGGCTGGCCACTCCACCCACTCTCACCACTGGTAGCCAGGTGGGCAACACTTGCTAGAGCTTTCAGCCAAGCTAGCTGCTTTTATGTAAACTCAGCTGGAGGGCACAGTATCCTGTTGTTGTGAGAAACATTGGGATGGCAGAGTTCACAATCCCACCTGTCAATGCCACTGGTAGTCAGGTGGGAAATCAATGTTAAAGCTTTGGGTAGAGTGGTCCCCACTTCTGTGAAAAGTTAGCCTGCAGACACAGTCTCCTGTTGTCCCAGGAAACACCTGGATATCAGAGAGTGTGACACCATCTACTCCTGTTACTGACACATGAGACCTTCTAGCTCAGCAGTCCTGCTTCTGTGTAAACTCAGCTAGAGGATGCAGCTTCCTGTTGCCCAAAGAAACACCTAGAAGGCAAGGTAAGCATCCCCAGCCACCCCCACTGCTGGCAGCTGGGCAAGCCATACCTGTTAGAGCTTCTACCCCAGCAGTCCTACTTCTGTTTGAATTTGCTGAAGGGCACAGCCTCTTGTGGCCATGCAAACACCTGGATGGCTGGATGTGAATCTCTACCCACACCAGCCTCTTGTAGCCAGATGAGTCACACCCACTAGAGCTTCCAATCCAGTGGTCCCACTTCTCCCTGAACTCTGTGGATAGGCACAGATCTGTGTTTCTTCACGAAACACATGGATAGCCAGTCTGAGAAGGATTCAGCTTGTCTGCAAACAGAGGCAACTACCTGAGGGTGCCCTATGAACCAAAACACCCCAAAACAACAACAATAACAACACCACCAAATGGGCACAGACACAGTAATCAGAGAGGGCTCCTCCAAGACCTAGGAGTGAAATAGAATCAAAGCCAGTTAATTAAACACACCTTATAACATAATTATACCCTAAAGGGCATCAAAGAAGAAAAAAATCCATCCAAAGACTCCATCCAAAGTTCCAAAGAATAGTAACTTCAGATAGTGAAGGAATCAGGCACACAAATAAGAAAGAATTAGTGCAAGAACTATGACAATTCAAAAATTCAAAAAGCCAGGGTGTCTTCTTACCTCCAAATCATCACACTAGTTCCTCAGCAATGGTTCTTAACCAGGCTGAAATGGCTAAAATGCCAGAAATAGGATTCAGAATGTATATAGTAATGAAGATCATCAACATACAGGAGATAGTCAAAACCCATTCCAAGAAATCTAAGGATTATAATAAAACAATACAGGAAGTGATAGATAAAATAGCCATTGTAAGAAGAATCAAACTTATCTTATAGAGCTGAAAAATACAGTAGAAGAATTTTAAATGGAATTTCAATTAACAAAAGATTCAACCAAGCTGAGAAAAGAATGTCAGAGCTTAAGACTGACTCTCTGAAATAACTCAGTCACACAAAAATGAAGAAAAAACAATAAAGAATAATAAGCAAAACCTCTGAGAAATATGGGATTATGTAAAGAAGCAAAATCTACAACTCACTGGACTTCCTAAAAGAGAAGGAAAGAAATCAAGCAACTTGGAAAACATTTTAGAATATCATCCATAAACATTTTGCCAACCTCTCTAGAAAGGCCAGCCTTCAAATTCAGGAAATGTCCAGAGCCCTCTTGAAATACTGCACAGGAAAACCATCCCAAAGACACACAGTCATCAGATTTTCTAAGGTCAAAATGAAAGAAAAAATGTTACATGAAGCTAGAGAGAAGGGGCAGGTAACATGCTTAAGGAGAACCATCAGACTAACAGCAGACCTGTCAGCAGAAACTCTAAAAGCCAGAAGATACTAGGGACCTGTTCTTAGCATTCTTAAAGAAAAAACATTTCAACTGAGAATTTCATATCCAGCCAAACTAAGCATCATAAGTGAAGAATAAATAAAATCCTTTTCAGGCAAACAAATGCTGAGGATATTTGTTACCACTAGACCTGCCCTGCAAAAAGGTCCTGTAGGGAGTGCTAAATATGGAAAAGAACGGCCATTTCTGGCCACTACAAAATCACACTTAATTACATAGACAAGTGACACCACAAAGCACCCATACAAACAAGTCTGCATAAAAACCACCTGACAACATAATGACAGGAGAAATCCACACTTATCAATGCTAACTTTGAATGTAAATGGACTACACAATTAAAAGGTACAGAGTAGCAATTTGATTAATGAAATGGTATGCCATCTTCAGGAAACCCATTTCACATTCAATGACATACCTAGTATCAAAGTAAAATGATGAAACAATTTTTACTAAGCAAATGGAAAACAGGAAAAAGCAGGCGTGCTATTCTAATTTCAGAAAACACAGATTTAAGCTGGGTATTGTGGCTCATGCCTGTAATTCCCATGCTTTGGGAGGCCTAGGCAGGCAAATCACCTGAGGTCAGAAGTTCAAGACCAACCTATACAACATGTGAAACCTATTTCACACTCAATGACACACCTAGTATCAAAGTAAAGTGATGAAAAAATATTTACCAAGCAAATGGAAAACAGGAAAAAGCAGGCATGCTATTCTAATTTCAGAAAACATAGATTTAAGCTGGGTGTTGTGGCTCATGCCTGTAATTCCCATGATTTGGGAGGCCTAGGAAGGCAAATCACCTGAGGTCAGAAGTTCAAGACCAGCCTAGACAGCATGGTGAAACCCCATCTGTATTAAAAATACAAAAAATAGCTAGGCATGGTGGTGTGTACCTGTAGTCCCTGCTACTCGGGAGGCTAAGGCAGGAAACATGCTTGAACCTAAAAGGCAGAGGATGCAGTTAGCCAAGATTGCCCCATTGCACTCCAGCCTGGGTGACAGAGCAAGACTCCATCTCAAAAAAAGAAAAAAAAAAAAAGAGGGAGAATCCAAGACGGCCAAATAGGAACAGCTCTGGGATGCAGTTCCCAGCGAGAACAATACAGAGGGTAAGTGATCACCGCATTTTCAAATGAGTTTTTACTGCCTGTAGACCAGGGGATTCCCAGGCCAAAAAGTGCCACGAGTTTCCAGCAAGGCTGTTTGAGCTGGTGCCACGGGTTCCTGCGCAAAAACTCACACAAATCTTGGCAGCCGATTCAACTAGCACCTGGAAAGCCTGGGAGACAGGGCCACCCATTAAACTGAAAAAGAGAGGGCTGAAACAGTGAGCCAGGTGATCCCCCACAAAGACCAGCAATCTGAAATGCTCTGGATTGAGAGTTTCGCAGCAAGCACATCTGGACCCTGGATAGTCTGGCTCAGTGTGGGGAAGGGTGTACACCATTACCAAGGCAGTCCACAACTACTGAGGCAGTCCACCATTACTGAGACAGTCTGCCATTACCAGGGAAGTGCGCCAATACCAAGGCACTCCACAATTACCGAGGCAATCCACCATTACTGAGGCAGTTCACCATTACTGAAGCAGTCCACCATTACTGAAGCAGACCGCCATTACCGAGGCAACAGTAACCTCTGTAAACAAAACCATAAGGAAGTTTACACAGCAGCTGGGCAGAGCCTACGGCGGCTCAGCAATGCCCCTGCTGGCAGGTTGTGACTAGACTACCTCCTTTTTGGGCAGCGAATCTCTTAAAAAAGGTAGCAGAACATCAGGAACTTATAAATAAAGCCCCACCTTCTCAGGTCAGAGCACCTGTGATAAGAAGCAGTTATGAGTTCCACTGCAGCAAATTTAAACTCACCTGCCTAGCAGCCCTGAATGGAAGAACTGAGCTCTCAGCACAGCACTTGAGCTCCTATAAGAGACAGACTATCTCCTAAAGCAGATTCCCGACCCCTGTATATCCAAAGAGACACCTGATGAAACACAGCTCAGGCTGACATCTGGCAGGTACCCTTCTGGCACAAAGATAACAGAAGAAGAAACCAGCAGCAACCTTTACTGTTCTGCAGCCTCTGTGGGTGATCTCCAGGCAAACAGGGTCTGGAGTGGACCTCCAGCAGTCCTGCAGCAAAGGGGCCTGACTGTTAGAAGGAAAACTAAAAAATGGAAAGAATAGCTTCAACATCAACAAAAAGGAGGTTCATTCAGAGACCACATCTGAAAGTCACCAACGACAAAGACCACAGGTAGATAAATCCACAAAGATGGGAAGAAACCAGTGCAAAAAGGATGAAAACACCAAAAGCCAGAATGCCTCTCCTCCTCCAAGAGATCACAACTCCTCACTAGCAAGGGAACAAAGTTGGATGGATAATGAGTCTGACGAATTGACAGAAACAGACTTCAGAAGGAGGGTAATAACAAACTTCTCTGAGCTAAAAGAACATGTACTAACCCAATGCAAAGAAACTAAGAACATTGAATGAAGATTACACAAAATGATAACTAGAATAAACAGCTTAGAGAAGGTTATAAATGACTTGATGGTGCTGAAAAACACAACATGAGTGCTTTGCGAAGCCTACACAAGTTTCAATAGCCGAATTGACCAAGCAGAAGAAAGGATATCAGAGATTGAAGATCATGTCAATGAAATAAAATGAGAATGCAAGATGAGAGAAAAAGAGTAAAAAAAAAATGAACAAAGCCTCCAAGACATATGAGATTATGTGAAAGGACCAAATCTACATTTGATAGGTGTATCTGAATGTGATGGAGAGAATGAATCCAAGTTAGGAAACGCTTTTCAGGAGATGCAACCCCAAGTCACATAAACGTCAGATTCACCAGGGTTGAAATAAAGGAAAAAATGCTAACGGCAGCCAGAAAGAAAGGTCAGGTAACCCACAAAGGGAAGCCCATCAGATTTACAGCAGATCTCTCGACAGAAACCCTATAAGCCAGAATAGTTTTGGCAAATATTCAACATCTTTAAGAAAATAACTTTCAACCTAGAATTTCATATCCAGCCAAACTAAGCTTCATAAACATGGAGAAATAAAATCCTTTATGGACAACCCATTGCTGAGATATTTCATCACCATCAGGTCTGTCTTACAAGAGATCCTGAAAGAAGCACTAAAAATGGAAAGGAACAAATTCAAACATAACAATATTAACCTTAAATGTAAATGGGCTAAATGCCCCAATCAAAAAACAAACTGGCAAACTGGATAAAAAGTCAAGAACCATCTGTGTGCTGTATTTAGGAATCCCATCTCACATGCAAGGACACATTTAGGCTAAAAGTAAAGGGATGGAGGAAGATTTACCAAGCAAATGGAGAACAACAACAACAAAAAAAGCAGGAGTTGCAATCCTAGTCTCTGATAAAATACACTTTAAACCAACAAATATCAAAAGAGACAAGGGCATTATATAATGGTAAAAGGATCAATGCAACAAGAAAAGCTAAAGATACTACATATATATGCACCCAATAGAGGAGCACCCAGACACATAAAGCAAGTTCTTAACGACCTACAAAGAGACTTAGACTCCCACACAATAATAATGGGAGACTTTAACACTCCATTGTCTATATTCGACAGATCAACGAGACAGAAAATTAAAAAGTATATACAGGACTTGAACTCAGATCTGGACCAAGCAGACCTAATAGACATCTACAGAACTTTCCACCCCAAATCCACAGAATATATATTCTTCTCAGCACCACATCACATTTACCCTAAAATCAACCACATAATTGGAAGTAAATCACTCCTCAGCAATTGCAAAAGAATGGAAATCATAACAAACAGTCTCTCAGACTACAGTGCAAACAAACAGAACTCAGGATTAAGAAACTAACTCAGAATCGCACAACTTCATGGAAACTGAACAACTGGCTCCTGAATGTAAACTGGATAAACAATGAAATGAAGGCAGAAATAAATAGGTTCTTCAAAACCAACAAGAATGAAGACACAATGCACCAGAATCTCTGGGACACATTTAAAGCAGTGTCTAGAGGGAAATTTATAGCACTAAATGACCACATAAGAAGCAAAGAAACATCTAAAATTGACACCCTATCATCAAAATTGAAAGAGCTAGAGGAGCAAGATAAAAAAAAAAAAATCAAAAGCTAGCAGAAGACAAGAAATAACTAAGATCAGATAAGCAATGAAGGAAACAGGGATACAAAAAAAAACCTTCAAAAAATCAACAAATCCAGGAGCTGGTTTTTTGAAAAGATCAACAAAATAGACAGACTGCTATCCAAATTAATTTTAAAAAAGACAGAGAAGAATCAAAAAGATGCAATAAAGTATGATAAAGGGGATATCACCATCAATTCCACAGAAATACAAACTACCATCAGAGGTTACTACAAACAACTCTATGCACATAAACCAGTAAACCTGGAAGAAATGGATAAATTCCTGGACACTTGCACCATCCCAAGACTAAACCAGGGAGAAGTCGAAACCCTGAATATACAAATATAAGGCTGCAGTTCAGGCAGCAATTATTAGCTTACCAACCAAAAAAAGTCCAAGTCCAGATGAGTTCACAGCTGGATTGTACCAGATATACGAAGAGAAGCTGGTACCCCTCCTTCTGAAACTATTCCAGACAATCCAAAAAGAGGGAATTCTTCCCAAATCATTTTATGAGACCAACGTCATCTTGATACCAACACCCAGCAGAGACGCAAAAAATAAAGAAAACTTCAGGACAATATCCATGATGAACATAGATGCAAAATTCTTCAATAAGATACTGGTAAACCAATTGGAACAGCACAACAAAAAGCTTGTCCATCATGATCAAGTAGTCTTCATCCCAGGGATGCAAGGCTGGTTCCACATACACAAGTCTATAAACATAATCCACCACATAAACAGAACCAAAGACAAAAACCACATGATTATTTCAATAGATGCAGAGAAGGCCTTCAACAAAATTCAACAGCTCTTTATGCCAAAAATTCTCAACAAACCAGATTTCGATGGAACGTATCTCAAAATAATAAAAGCTATTTACAGCAAACCCACAGCAAATATCATACGGAATGGGCAAAAACTGGAAGTATTCTCTCTGAAATCGGGTACAAGACAAGGATGGCCTCTCTCAATATTCCTATTCAGTATAGTACTGGACGGTCTAGCCAGAGCAAACATGCAAGAAAAAGAAAGAAAGGGTATTCAATTAGGAAAAGAGGAAGTCAATTTGTCTCTATTTGCTGATGACATGATTGCATATTTAGAAGCCCCAATGGCTCAGCCCGATATCTCCTTAAACTGATAAGCAACTTCGGCATTATCTGAAGATACAAAATCAATGAGCAGAAATCACAAGTATTCCTACACCAAAAACAGACATAAGGGAGACAAATCAAGAGCGAATTCCCATTCACAATTGCTACAAAGAGAATAAAATACCTAGGAATACAACTTACAAAGGATGTAAAGGACCTCCTCCAGGAGATATAGGAATGACTGCTCAAGGAAATAAAAGAGGACACAAACAGGTGGAAAAACATTCTATACTCACTGTTAGGAAGAATCAATATTGTGAAAATGGCCATACTGCCCAAAGTAATTTATAGATTCAATGCTGTCCCCATCAAGCTACCAATTTCCCACTTCACAGAACTGGAAATAACCACCTTAAAATTCATATGGAATCAAAGGAGAGCCCACATAGCCAAGACAATCCTAAGCAAAAAAAAATCAAAGCTGGAGGCATCACACTATCTGACTTCAAATTGTAGTACAATGCTACGGTAATCAAAGTAGCATGGTACTGGTACCAAAACAGAGATATAAACCAATGGAACAGAACAGAGGCCTCAGAAATAACACTGCACATATCCAACCATCTGATCTTTGAGAAACTGACAAAAACAAGCAATGGGGAAAGAATTCCCTGTTTAATAATGGTGTTGGGAAAACTGGCTAGCTATATGCAGAAAGCAGAAACTGGATCCCTTCCTGACACCTTACACTAAAATTAACTCAAGATGGATTAAATATTTAAACATAAGATCTAACACCATAAAAACTCTAGAAGAAAACCTAGGCAAAACCATTCAGGACATAGGCATACGCAAGGATTTCATGGCTAAAACACCAAAAGCATCGGCAACAAAAGTCAAAATAGACAAATGGGATCTAATTAAACTCCAGAGCTTCTGTATAGCAATAGAAACCATCATTACAGTGAACCGGCAACCAATAGAATGGCACAAAATTTTTGCAATCTACCCATCTGACAACAGGCTAATATCCAGAATCTACAAAGAACTAAAACAGATTTACAAGAAAAAAAAAAAAAAACATTCAAAAGTGGGTGAAGGATATGAACAGACACTTTTCAAAACAAGACAAATATGAGGCCAATAAATGTGTGAAAAAATGCTGATTATCACTGGTCATTAGAAGAATGCAAATCAAAACCACATTGAGATAGCATCTCATGCCAGTTAGAATGGTGATCATTAAAAAATCTGGAGACAACAGATGCTGGAAAGGAAGTGGAGAAATAGGAACAGTTTTACACTGTTGGTGGGAATGTAAATTGGTTTAACTGTTGTGGAAGACAGTGTGGCAATTCCTCAAGGACATGGAAATAAAAAATTCCATTTCACTCTGCAATCCCATTACAGTACTGGGTATATACCCAAAGGATTACAGATCATCCTATTATAAAGACACATACATACGTATGTTCACTGTGGCACTGTTTACAATAGCAAAGACCTGGAACCGATGAAATGCCCATCGATGATAGACTGCACAAGGAAAATATGGCACATGTACACCATGGACTACTATGCAGCCATAAAAAATGATGAGTTCTTATCCTTTTAGGGACATGGATGAATCTGGAAACCATCATTCTCAGTAAACTGACACAAGAACAGAAAATCAAACACCTCATGTTCTCACTTG